CTTTGTCCCATGTTTCTTTTATTTCTACGTTTTTGGTGAAGTACTTCTGAAAGTTGCTTCAGATCAGCAGCTATTGGTAATATAATGTTTTGACATCTGTCGTTATTACTGAGAACTTCATTTATTAACCACGTGATGCCTGTGCTAATTGTGGGTGATCATGAGATACCCTGTTTTTTATAATTTCTCAATGTTGTTTGTTGTTACGCGATTTTTTAAGATTACAAATGTCATGTTATTGCTCCACATATTGTATACTAATGACATGATTTAAAGATGACTGTCTTCTGGGTTGTTGCGCCGTAGTCTGGTAGATGTTTACCGACGTTTCAGAGGTCCTTGCTACCTCCATAACGAGGGCGATGAGCCATCTTCAGACTCACCGCTGTGAAAACCTCAAATCCTACTGATATGATATAAATCAAACTTTGTACAGAAGACATTCGCTGGTGGTTATAGTTTTAATTTTATTTTCGGGCAATCTTTGCTTTGTATAACACGTAGCCTGTTCTACGAGCCTGAATTAGTTTTGTATTTATTTCGTTATGACAAAGTTTAAAATGAAATATTTGTAGTATGTAAACAGCTGTTTATCTTTGTATTAAAGTATAGTAGAATTGTTATAAACAATTAAGTATACCTATTCACGTCAGAAATGCGAATGGATTTTTGAATTGATGACAAATGTCTCTATATTTATAAATATATTATCGCCAGGGCTGGCCGAAATTTGTGGTTTGTAAAAGCAGGTCTGTGGTCCAGTCAGAATTCCTTTACGACATAAGTCATTTTTGATAATTTTACGTATATAAAAGTTGGTAAATTTTCATATCTGTGTTTGTTTCATGTGGGAAATTTACACACGACGTTAACATCTTTCATTTTGTATAAAATGTTTGTTTCATGTGGGAAATTTACACACTACGTTAACATCTTTCATTTTGTAGAAAAGTACTTGCAGATTTGTGTTCCATCTTTTTCAATTAACGACTGTATTACGGAGTAATACGGATTAGTGATTTTGTTTGCGTGGAATTAATTCAAGTAGCTTTCCTGTGATTATGTATGACGTTGCTTTGTTTTCGTGCTAACAAAATTTATATGGTACTGAACGACAATACTCCTGATTTCTGTTGACGTTATGTTATGTACTTAGTACGACGTTGCTACGTTACTAGTTAATTGTGGTCTTTACAAGGTCTGTGGCTTATTTAGCGATACCTGCAGATTGTATACACGAGTACTTGAACAAACGATTGTTATGAAATCGATAATTAAAAGATGTCAGAGTGGTTACGATATTCATGAATATTACAGTTATTTTGTACTTTCGCTGTAATTTTAACCGTCAGAATACAGATTGGTTTCCACATAGTCGGTGATTATTTTAATGTGTAAAAATTTTGTTTTTGTCGCCTGACACTTCCAGATACCAGTTAAAAACACCAACGTGAACGGGCTCCCTGCAGTCCACAGTTTACGATTCAATTTCAGGGTTTGAAATGGTTCTGAAAACAGTGTTTACGTTTAATGGGTTACACTGTTTTATAATTATCTAGATTATTGAACGACTGTTAGACTGGAAACTCCTGCCAAGTTATATATGTTGTTATTATATTAATAGATAACTTTGTGACAGTATGTGATTGTTACGCGTGAATTATTTTAACCGTTCCCATGATAGCGCTTTTAAAGAAATTTTAAACTTATGGGATATTGTTTATGACTGCGAGTATGCTTAAATTGTTATAACTGTTGCCATGGTAACATTTTAAGGATTTATTGCCCTTATGGTTTGTGTTACTGGCCCTCTACCACAAAGGTCTGGCTTACAATTGACCCTTAGTATTTTCAGCGTGTTTAGTTAGTTCTTCGCGATTGTTACTGTCACAGCTGAAAGTCTATTACATGTAAAAATGTAAAGGTACAATTTACATTCCGCATTTCTTACTTAGGAACTACTTCGAGGGTGATGGATGAATTTAATACCTGAGATAAGTGTACGGGTTTTTATAGGCGCAGTCTAGAAACTTTCCGATCGCACCTCGTAGTCCTGGTTAGTTCTGGTGTTACATTTTAGGTTCTTCTTTTGTTCATTATGTTTGCTTCACCCGTTAATAAATTAGCCATAGAACGCCCTTATAACGTCATTAGACTAGTCTCGTGATATCGGTGTCATTTTCATAGTTACTGATTAGATTAATGGCTCCAACGAAGGTTATTATTTGAGGTGCTTTTTTCTGCTTATCAGAAGCTTTAAAACTGAAAGTGTAGACTTTGTTTGAATTCAATAAAGGTCGACCCTGAAGAGTTCAGGAGATTATTTGAATCTGTTTAATTAAACTAATATTCATCTATCCATTGGTGGACGTTAATGAAATATTGAATAAAGGGTTCTTGAAAATAGCAAGCCAAAGTATTGAAGTGTTGTCGTGTCTTTGAGGTTGTTTAACGACGTTGTTTCAACTCAGAATTTGTATTTGAATCCTTTAATGATATTGGAAGATGAAATTGAATTTTGTGTGGGTGTTCGTGTCGAAAAAGAGGCACATTAACTTTGCTGAGACTAGAAACAAAACTTAATTTTGATTGTTGGTAAACCGACTGAGATTCGAATCGTGTACCTTCAATAATACCTGATCATTAAGTTACATAAACCTGCTCTGTTATTAAGACATGAATGTAGGCGTTGAAGGTGTCTTCCGGGGTGTTGCGCTGCGTAGCCTGGTAGAAATTTATCGACGTTTAGATAAACATACTGACACTCATGTGAGCGATCGCGACAAGTTAAACTTCTTGTTGTTTCAAATTAATTTGAACAGACATCTTCGTAGTTTCTACCAGTGCAGTCGTCGAGTGCTGAGACGGTCTGACACGCAGTTTCAATTTGAAAGAAGCGAGTACTAATAATACGAATTCGTCCTCATTGTTACTTATTTTTTTTACACTTTTAATCGCAGTATTAAACTATAAACAAACCATAAACAGTGGATATAAAGTTGTAATGCAGCGGAAACTGTTTTCGTTCGTGCGCTTTATAACTTATACCGAATTTTTTAAAGTTTATAGAGACTTACTATTTGAATTATATTTTAATTTGGAATTCATTGTCTTTTTTACTGTCAGGTTTGCGTCACGGCATTTAAAAGAAACAATAGGGCACCGCCCTGCACCAAGTACAGCAGCCATTTTAGTTTCTAAGAAGGTAGAACAGAGTGGGATCAGTACAACTGCGCTATCATCATCATCCGGCTGCTGAGTCTAATTTAATTTAATTTCGTAGTCATTATGCGCTAGACGCAGATGCGGAGGGACGCAGGTCCAAGCCCAGTTCTCGCGTGGGTCCACCGAATGTAGAGTGACTTAAGAACGGAGACTCCAAGAGTCGAACAATGAGGGACTGGCCAGTGGAATAGGAGTAAACTGTTCGATCGACCGCATGCATAACGGCGTTGGCGGAATGAATAAATTAGTGGAGAATTAGATTAATACTGGCTAAGGCCTACTGTTTGGATAATGGAGTGACTGGCGGGCAGATTTTAATATTATTTTCGTATTCCAATCGAGTTGTCTTATTCTGATTTTTTTCGACTGTTTTGTACATCCGCTTCCCGTCTTATTGTCCTTGATTCGGTCGCTCTAAAGGTGTTTGGCAAAGAGTAAGAGTAAAGAAGTGTTCTGTTTATGGAGTTTTCTGGAGCTTTCGTGGGTTAAAATATTGAGTTCAGCAAGTTCTCATTCACCACCAATCCATATTGCTCCTGCGCAGGAGTCTAAGTAATAAAACATTGATTAAAGGGGATATAACACGAACCACGCAAACTTAATATCACGGCATTAAAAGTGTGAATTGAATTGAATTGAATGTAAGTCACTTGACCGTGCCAGTGGCTGGCTTTTATGATGATTGTTCCGCGTGATGTTTGGACCCGTTGTGCAACAATGCGGCCTAAAGGGTTTCCATTGTGGTAAACAATCTCTTCAGCCACGGTGGTTTAGCGGTTATAACGCTGGCCTTGTAATCCTGGGGTCTCGGGTTCGATTCCCGGCGGTGCCCGAATTTATAACTTGTGTTGGGCAAGGCCGTGGTCTAGGCAACACGGAGTTTTCCTCCTTGGGCTTCCCGGGTTTCTCCGTGGCATCCCAACAATTACTCCATTCACACACAGAAGAAGGCAATGGCAAACCACTTCTGGAGCATCTGCCAAGAACGTATATGAACAGGGCCCAGTCCGAGAAAAGGATCGAAGGATCCTGTTCATATGGACCTGTCGTCAGATAGAACACTAAATAAATAATAAATAAACAATCTCATGGGTTAACACGAGTGCAAGAAAGACCCAAGACGTAACAATGACATAGAACCTCGTTCATTGCCCTTAATAACACATTTGGAATGTCAGTGTACGTCAAAGAATACACGTTTACATTTTTTGGTACGTATTCGTTATTTATTTAACGACGCTGTCAGTAACTGTGCTGATGAATAATGAATTTAAAATATGTCGAATGAAGCGATCGTTAATTTAATTTAATATACAGGCATTTGCCAGAAGGGAGTGGGGAAAGTTACGAAAGACTCTGGGTTTGAACCTGAGATATCCCGAATATGAAACCGGAGTGTCGGCGTTTGGTACTGTTCCGTGTCTCTGGGACACGTCTAATGGAATTTGTAATGTGTTTGAAGTAGGTAGTCCTGTGACGGAGTCACAGAAATGCCTGTGCGAAGGCATTGAGATCCAGCGTGTGTGCTAGCAGGACCAGAGTGTGATGGAGATTCTGTGTGTGTGGGGGGGGGGGGGGGGATGATCCCCGGTGTTAAACTAAGCCTGTGGCTTCTAGCTGTTTGCCTGAAGAGCGAGGAGGGATGTTCTGGACGTGAGGGGCAAGAGATGCACTGAAATGGGTTAGTTTTGGTTCCTGAGGGAATTTTCTCTTAGACTTGTGTTGGAAGTCGAGATGTGAGGGAAGTGGTTGTGAGGCAGCAGGTTTTAGAATCCTGGACTTTGGCGAGGGCGGGGGAGGCAGTGGCGATGTCGCAGGTGACGTTGCGGAGTACCGTCGGTTTACCCGAGTAAGTGATTAGAATATCGGATAGAGACAAGTGAAGCGGGAACAGTTACGAAGTGGACTTCGGGGCTTGGCCTCTGCGTGCAGTCCATAATGTATACAGTTTCTCCCTATTTTTAAAGCATTTGAGGTCAAGAGTAGTTGTTGTTTTAATATAATTTTCTGAACTGCAAGAATTTCAAAACATAACACATAAATACATACACACACCCCTTTTTGTCAACAGTGTTTTGTGTTATAAAATCATAGTGTAAAGGTAACTTAAATGATTTGAAACTTGCGAAGTTCAGTTGTTTCTGTACGATAATACAAATTTTATTATCGTTGCTACACTTCAGATGATGAATTTGTTTTACAGCTGGCTTTCCAAATATATAAAAGTATAATTTCATGTCTTGTATTACATCGGTGTAAAAATGTTGTCTCTTAAGTCAAGTATATAGATACTGGATGTTTGATAACAGGTGCTGAGGAGGATATTAATCCAAAGAGGATGGAAGTGACGGAAGACTGGATAAATTCGTGCAGTGAGGAGCTTCATAATTTGTAATTTTCATAGGTTATTTATTATTGGAATGATCAGCTAAAAGGCGCGTGATATTGGGAGGGCTAAGAGAGGTGCTAAATGCTTACAAAATTTTCATCTGAAAACCAGAAGGAAAGAGACCACTTGTAATACCCAGGTTTAGATGGGAGGATATTGAAATTAAGTAGGCCACTTTAACACGGTCACGAAGTATCGTGTTCCATAAACGTTAAGTAAGTTTTGACTAGCTAGTGTTAGGTTCAAGAACTCTGATACATGGAGTTGGTTATTGTTATTTTTGATCGAATTGTTGTTTTATGATTGTTAATGATGAATGGAGAAGTGTTGAAATAAGTGGCCATATTTAAAATGTATCCTAGGTACTGAAGCTACGTACAATGGCTTCGGGCTGGAAAACTGATGTTCGATGATTTAATTTCCATGTGTCAGTGTCATTACCAATTAAATTCAATCACAGTTGTGAAGGATTTATTACGTAGCTTCATACTGTGATTTCTTTATCTGCTTTGGTGGCAGCACATGAACATATATGCTTATTTATCTAAAATTTTAACCAGTAGTAGGATCGTGGCTGTTTCATTTTCGGTTTCTTTAAAGAAATTGACAATTGTGAAATTACGGTTCTGTTTATAATTTTAGACGGCTGCTTTATGGGCCTGCTGATGAGTTGAGGTCAAGGCTGCGTTTCAATGTGTGTGTTTTTTTTAAAATATATTTCAGTGTTGTCATAGTGTTCCCTTTAAGTCGGTTCAGAATTTCATACATGTAGCTAGAGGAAGGGAGAACAAAGACAACGTTAGGAAGTCATAAATAAAAGGTAATGAAAGTTTGAAACTGCTAGTCGTATATCCAGCAAAAGGCGATAATCGAGCGTAGGGGTATCGAAATTGATTCTTAGCAAGTGACGTCTCAAAAATTGACTGTCGTCTGGTATGTTGTGATCGCCCTGATGATGGAGGCAGTAATGGCCTCTGAAACGTCGGTCATCTACTACTGCGTAACTTCGTATAAGACAGTCGCCACCGTGAGAACCTAAAATCTTAAGTGGTATGTCCATCAAAATGAATGTTGCAGTGGTTAAATGAACGGATAGCAAGCTACAAGAGCGTACGTATGTAACAAAATGGCTAGAAGCCACAGAGTTAATAAGATGGTAAAATATAAAATATTTAAAATATCATTTCACGTTCCGCATCGAATGATCGATTTACAAATTGGAACGTCTCTTACGACATGTTTCGGTTATATTTAACCGTCCTCAGGTATAAATTAGATTGGTAAATTTAAAACTCGAATTACAATCATTTACAATGTTATGCAGTTTATTGAAATGTTCTTATCAGATTACTCTTATATATTAGAACGAAGGTATTGTTTTTTATATGGCGTGGTTCATCTGATGTTCAATATTAGTCGGTGATGAGTTGATAGAGACATGACGTGTCTAGCGGAAGACATCTAGAAGTATTATTTGTAAATCGATCATTCGATGCGGAACGTGAAATGATATTTTAAATATTTTATATTTTATTATCTTATTAAAATTGTGATTTGACGGAAAATATTAAAATATTATATAATATTTCTTGTTATTGTGCCTCAAAGGATTTACAGGTATTACAGCATGCAACCTTTGAAATTTACGCCGGGTTAATTCAATCCAGTTAATTACCATGCATTGTTTCCCTTAGGCGAGTCGTTGTGTTGTCTAGTCCATATCTGTTTCATTTTATTTAGTGACAACACGATGACATGATGAACTACTTCAAAATTGACTTTTATTAGGTTATACGCTGGTATTCATGTTTAATTTATGAACGGAATACGCTAGTATGGACTTCTTCTGGAAGACGGAAGTTTTTAAAAATAAAATACGGATGAGTGTAGAGTCCAACGAGACGAAGGTAGTATTCGTAAGTTAATGGTATAAAATGAAGATGGCGTAATCATCTGTTAAATTGTGTCCACCTGGTTCCGAAATTATAAATGCGTTCAGATTTGCCTTCATAACGTGGTGTAGGGACAGAATTCAGCTTTGACCTACAGTGAAACGTTTTCGTATCTAGACGGATCTCCGAAAACCTACAGACATTCAGGTGTCAGTACGAGCAAACGGTTCCAAAGGGGATTTAATTTCAGAGCAATTTGAATTATAGATCGGTACAGGACGGAGGATGTCAGACACGTGGGGAAGTCGGAATCCTCGTGTGTTCGTATCAGTCATGTGACAGCACGGTTCATCGTCTTTAAACTTTTATCACTTCCTGTCTCTTTCGTGCTATCAAGTAACGCCGCGGCTGGAGGATAGCTCAAAATTCTGAAACGTCAGAGGAGTGAGGACATACGAATTTTTCTTTGAGAAAAGATTTCCATGGTCAACATTCCAAGCTCTCTTCCTTTCGCATTTCGTTTCCGGACCATATGTAACAAACTGGAGGAAAGAATCCCTTTATACATCGCGCGGAATCTTGTGGAAAGAACCATAAATACAATAAAAGGTATCAAAAGTAGAAAAATTGCTCTGTACACCGGTTACTGTTTTTTCTTCTTGCGATTATTAATTCCTGTCCGATATAGCTATCAATTCTTACTCTGTTCTGTGTTATAACGTACAATAAATGTTTAAATTTGAAGCACCGTCAGTGTTTCATGATAATGTTGTATGTCTCCTTCGTGTTTTAACATTTTTCTCACAAAAATGCTGATGTTGATGTTTGTTTTATGGCTGAGGTAGCGTGAATAACTGCAGACGACATATACGTCCTGAATTCCGTTATTTAAAGACGGGGAAGGGGGGGAAGCAGTCTGCTGTGACGCGACGACTGCTCCAGGACCGGCGCTACGTATACTCCGGCTAGTTCATTGAATTTTTATCTCCCCGGACACAGATCAACGCCAGCATGCAGAGAATACCAGCAAATAAAATTGTTTATCTACCAGAAAGTTCTCGAGATGTCGAACTTGTGAACCTATGCTCAGTCCGTTGGCCATTCCATTATAAATGAAGTTTTAAAAAAAATATTGTAGCCTGCAAGGGCAATCCTTTGTTGACCCGTGCTTGTGTTTGTATCACACAATTGATGATTTATAAAGAAATTGTTCGACTGAATACATTAGTGTCCTTTCAGAAAGAAATATAAAATACTCCCTGCTATCCATGCTAGTTATGAAGTTTTATCTTTTATAAAATTTATGCTATTTATTTTTTATTATTGCGTGTTTAACGATTCTGCCAGTGGCCATATTTGTGTCAAAGGCCCGTTAAAATTTAACGGGAACGATTTATTTAATATCTTCATCGAGAACTTTTGATGAAAAAAACATCCCCAATGTTTGTCACTAAATACTGTAATGTCTTACTTTGCGATATTTGGTGTCTTACATGTAACGGGTATGAGAAAGTTTGTATAGTTTCTGGTTGTGCAAAATATTGGTGCCATAGTTTGCAAGTTGTACAAGATTTCACACTAGCTGCTGTTATAATAACAAATTATATAATTCCGCTCTGATGTGGTCTGATGTTAATGGGCCTTTGTGGAAGGGTCTCTAGCAGCTTGAGATAAGACAAGATGGCCGTTATGTGTTTATACTGAGCTAACTTCCATAATAGAACCGCTTTGTGTCGTCTGACTTCCGAGAATAGTTAGCGTATTCTCAGACCATACACTCTTCTGGGGGTGAAGTTGAAGTACATGTATGAAGTTCTTTTCCTTTGATAGTTTTGTTAGACCTCGTACTGAATTAATTCATTATAGAGCAGCAACTGCTCGACAAATGTGTGGAGATTGATTCACTCAGCTGACACTAGGGGTCAGAAGTCAACAACGCCAGACGCCTTCCGTGTGTAAATTTTATGAACTTGTTGTGGTTCATGATGCATTAAATTAACCTAAGGAAGTAATCTTGTCCATTTACATGCACACTGATAGTAGTTGTTGAATCGTGCAAATTTTGAAGCTCCTTACTATTTTAAGTATTTTATTTAAATAAGCAAATAATTCCGCTGCATTCACATTAATTCTGTGTGTGTCTGTGTGATTTTGCCCCAAAGGAATGAGAACGTATTTTGCGAGTGAAGAATCTTACTCCTAAAACTAGGCAGACCACAGACACGAGCAGCTTAACTGCCTCGATCCCTTTAAGAGTGCTGTACTGGTATAAAGAGAAATTAATCCCATGTTTCCTTTCATTACCCCTCATATAATGTTACCTCTGTTTACTAACTCAAGGAATGTTGCTCCTGAACGGGCTGTAGCTGGGTATCAGAGCTACATCTCGGAGAGATAAATCTCTTCGCAGCATCCCGCTAGCTCCCGGCCTGCTGTAAGACAGGGATAACAAAGGGTTTCATTAAGAACTTAACCCTCTTCTTGTGCTACACCCTTTGCCGCCGCCATCATGTTCTCCCACCACTACTCTTATATTCTTTCTAATATCTTCTCTTCCTTTTATCATCCTTTGCATACACAAACTTTTACTCCTTTCCTTTATCATGCTGTTAACCCGTTCTGTCTCTCATTTTTCATCGCCCCTTGTTCTTCCTTCATGCGTCTCATTCAGTCTTTGTCTGTGCTTTCAAATTTGCGAACTCCGCGTGTAAGTTGTAGTGAATTAGACCTGTCTGTCATATTAGTGTACAGTCGGGCGCAAAGGTACTTGAGACATCTAAACTAGTTTAGGCTTCATAGCTTGGCGTGTTGAACCCGTCTGCGAATATCGCATCACTGTAGTACAAATCGCAATGAGGAGCATCTGACCAATCAGGGCCATTTTTGTACATGACGTCACGTTCTGTTCTCAGAACACGTGACCAGATGCGTAATTCACAACGTCTCTTAACGTTCTGTTTACACACGTACCATAAACTCTGAGTAGAATGTAGTGAGGGAGATTAGCCGCATCTCCGAAACGTCGTGCAATTTTATGATTTTATTAGACGATGGAAAACATCCAGAAAACTTTTTATTTTAAAAACGTGCC